TCCCGAGTCCCATCTGATCGGGAGGAAATGAGGATTTTGCAGTAGCCTTCCCCTGGAGTGGGGAGGGAATGGAGATTTTACAGTATCCTTCCCCGCCAAGCCATGCCATGCCCACCAAGCCACACCTACAGAACTGGTAGTAAAAAAACATTTGAAACCTACCACTGGCACAAACATCTTGCAGGTATAGGTGTTGGGTTCTAATTTAGCAGAATTCAGAAGCTCCCCATTTTCCTTCACCAGAGCATAACCTCGGTGGCTCTTCATATACTCAAGAGCCCTTCCCTTAAAACAGCATTTCCTGCTTTATATCCTTTGAGATGGGGTGAAGCAGATGTCCCTTGCAGAAGAGTCAATGGGCTATCAAGCAAACCTTTTCTGCTGCTCCTGATTTTCAGCCATTCAACAAGCAAAACAGAGAGAGGGAAGACAAAGTGATCCCTCTCCAGGCCAAAGCTGCATAGAGCAGGGGTCTCGAACCTTGGCAACTTTAAGCCTGGAGGACTTCAAGTCCCAGAATTCTGGAAGTTGAAGTCCTCCAGGCTTAAAGTTGCCAAGATTCAAGACCCCTGGCACAGTGGACCCAAGACTGGTCAAGTTATGTAATACTTGAGACAGAAATTTCTCTTCCTGCCTAGCATGACACAGCCATCGGCGACTCATTTGGCTCCTCTTGATTGAGTCTGCAAGTCTCAATTCCCCAGTCTCCCAACCAGAAGTAGTATTCAGCAGGTTCTGACCAGTTCTGGAGAACCGATAGCAGAAATTTTGAATAGTTTGGAGAACCGGTAAATACCACCTCTGACTGGCCCCGCCCCCATCTATTCTCTGCCTCCCGAGTCCCAGCTGATCAGGATTTGCAGTATTTGTAGAAATGGGGATTTTGCAGTAACCTTCTCCTGGAGTGGGGTGGGAATGGAGATTTTACAATATCCTTCCCCTGCCATGCCCACCAAGCCACACCCACCAAGACACGCCCACGGAACCGGTAGTATAGAATTTTGAATCTCACCACTGCTCCCAACCGCTCATTTTCTTTCCCTACCACCCTTTTTAAATAGGCTTGAATGAAAAACACAGAAGTAGAGGCATCTGCAGCCTATACGATAAAGAATAAATACTAATATATTCCTTTTATGTTCCCCTGTGCTCCTCCCACTGGAGGTCTTTCATGCCTGGACTTCAGAGGTGGAAAGGCTGAATATGGCAAATTTATCAGGTATCTTAATGTTTAGAAAAGAAGCACCACTTAACTTTCAATTTCTTTACTGGTTAAGTCCTATAAATTCTGTTTCTTATAACAGGCTTTAAAAACTGCCGTGCCTAATTTTTTTGGGGAAAATTAACCAGAAAAATGGAAATAGATAGTGCTCTAGATATTCCCATTAGCCAGAAAAATGGAAATAGATAGTGCTCTAGATATTCCTACAGAATATCTGAATCTACAGAATCTGTAGATATTCCTACAGAATATTTGGATCTACAGAAAATTCCCAATGTATCAAAACAAATTTGGGTAACTGATATACAGTACAGGTGGAGTGTGTAAAGATCTTTCATCCATGAATTATTTTATGACTCCAGCAAAGAAAATACAATTTACAAGACCAAATAATTATGGATTGACCCACAATTAACTGTGCAATAAAACTTCAAAGTGCTTAGTTTTTTTATATCTTAATTTTTCTATGCCATGGAAGAGGGGAAGATTCTATAAGTAGTATGCAGTGATTGAGAAAGAGGTTTTCATGATGAGGATTTCATTCTGAGACAATGAGATTGGAGGTAGAACATCAATCTGGATGCCCAGTTTCCCAATATAAGGTCTGATGTAAGATTGGGGTTCAACATAGAGAGTGAGACTCTATGCCCATGATGGCGAACCTATGGCACGCATGCCAGAAGTGGCATGCAGAGCTCTCTCTGTGGGGATGCAACTGCTCTTCTGGTTTCCAGCACACGCATGCACGCCAACCAGCTGATCTTCGTGCGTGCCGGAGCTCTGGAAACCCAAAGATCAGCTGCCCGGTCTTTGAGTTTACACATGCGTTCCGGTTTGGGCATTCGGTGCCAAAAAGGTTCGCCATCACTGCTCTGTGCTGCTTACAAGCCAGTATAGATGTCGGCAGTGATCCATATACAGCACTTAAATGAGATAAGTACCTACAAGGTCCAACTCAAATATGGTGATAGTTCACAGCTTTTAAATCAACATGACACTATTGTTTACAATACTTGCTCTCAGATCCATGACTGCAAAGTATAGTCTTCATATTTGTATTTATAGCGTAATGCTAGGAGCATTGTTCCTTGAAGAAGCCCAGAATTAGCTGAGAATTCTCGGGAGAATCCAGGCTCATGATGCTCAAGGTATCCTGAAGAAGCATGAGAGAGTGAGTCATGGGATCGCTAAATCAGAATATTTGAGACAGCAGCTGATTAAGAAGGTCAAATGGCACCTTGACATTTTCCAGCTAGAATCTCTAAAACCCTTATTTACACTGCACTGCACTGTTGATGATCAAAGAGAAGCCCTCCCAAAGCATAGAATCTCTGTCAGAAAGGGAGAATTTTTCAAGTAAAATTCTTGGAGTTCTTATCATAAGAATTCACACCAAATATTAGCTAAACATTGAAAATCGCATCATGTTTTGCCATCCATTTGGGTGGGATTCTTCTGCTCAGCCAATCTCCCCTCTGTTATTTTATCTATTTGGCAAATGTCCTGTTAGTTTTCCCCTCGTTCTCATTCTTTCATCATTTTCCAGTGACTTGAAGCAAAGCATTTTAAGCGAGGCTTCTGGTAGTCTCAACACAATCTCAGTAATGTAGTAAAGGTAAAGGTTCCCCTCACACATACGTGTTAGTCATTCCTGACTCTAGGGGGCGGTGCTCATCTCCATTACTAAGCCGAAGAGCCAGCGCTGTCCGAAGACGTCTCCGTGGTCATGTGGCCAGCATGACTCAATGCCAAAGGCGCACGGAGTGCTGTTACCTTCCCACCAAAGGTGGTCCTTATTTTTCTACTTGCATTTTTTATGTGCTTTTGAACTGCTAGGTTGGCAGAAGCTGGGACAAGTAACGGGAGCTCACCCCATTACGCGGCACTAGGGATTCGAACCGCTGAACTGCCGACCTTTCGATCGACAAGCTCAGTGTCTTAGCCACTGAGCCACCGCATCCCCACAGTAATGTAGTATCTTCCTCTAATTGTGATATCGTTTGGGGCAGCCCTCGTCACACAAGTTTGTCGCGTCTTTTTGCAAACGGATCAGAATCAATAATGTGCATCTACTAATAGTTAGCAACATGGGGGTGGGGGCATCGTTGCCTTGCAAGATAATGAGTGTGTTCTCCCACTCCACGCTCAGCCTCTTTCGTAAAGGTGTACAAAAGGGGCAGAGTCTGGATCATGATACTGCAGCTGCCTTCTTGCAGATGTTCACCTCACCCATCCTCCGCCACAGATGCTACTGGTAGTAAGCAAAAGTCAGAGGATCAAATATAGTTACTGCTTCTGTGAAAGCAGCTTCTGTCTTTCAATGACAGAAGATGCTTTCGTGCAATGTATGTATCTAATCTGGTTCTTGAATACTGAGCTGACACAAAATTTGAAAGATAAAGTGGCCATATGAGGCTGGATTCATTGAAGCTAAGCCGTGGAACAATTTCACCAAAGATGATTTTGGCCAATTTAGCAGCTGTGTGAATCATTTGCTAGGTTTTTTTAACTAAATCTGGTTATGCATGTTGTGTGAACTCAACCAAATGGAATCTGAGGATAGTGTTTGTTCCTCTCCAAATATTCTCTGTAAAGAGGTGGATGGATGGAAGGAAGGAAGGAAGGAGAGAGGGAAGGAGGGAGGGAGGGAGGGAGGTTCAAAGACTTGGAAGCAGTGGTGGGTTTCTACTGGTTCGCCCCAGTTCGCGTGAACCGGTAGTGGCGGCGGTGGGGGGGAGGCTCCAACCACCCTCCCAGACATCATCACGGACACTCTGCACATGTGCAGAAGTGCCGCGTGCTCGCTTCACGCGTGCACACTACAGGTTCCGAACCGGTAGCGAAGGTAAGAGGAACCCACTTCTGCTTGGAAGGATTACAAATAGAAGACATAGTTGTCTGTCTTAAGTTCGATAACTATTGGAGCTATTAAATGAGCAAAAATGTGTAACAAATTTCAACCCATCACATGGAAAGGTTCTGAATAGATTTTGTCTAAAATTAGGAAACAGTATGTCCCCTCACGAACATTTTTTCTACTAAAAATATGTCAAATTTTCCTTAAAATTATATTCCATTTTGGCAGCCTTTTCCTTCCTACCATGGGCTAGTTGGCGTATTACTTATAAATAGGATCATTTCATAATTCAGCAACACTTTTTCTCCTCAGGAGCCTCTTAACCCAGTCAGGTATCCCAAATGAAAATTATTTAATTCGCTCTAGCCCAGGGGTGTCAAACTCAAGGCCCGGGGGGGCCAGATAAGGCCCGCGAGGTGCTTAGATCTGGCCCGTGGGCCTGCCCTGGAAACAGCAAAGGATCGGCCCACAGTGCCTTTACCAGTGAAAACGGAGCTTGGGAGGGCCACGTGCGGCTCACCCAAGCTCTGTTTTCAGCCATGACGGCCTCCTGCTGCCCTCTGCTAATAAAAATGGAGCTCAGGGAGGCTGCACACGGCCCACCGGGGCTCCATTTTTGGCCATGACAGCCTCCTTCAGCCCTCTGCCAATGAAAACGAAGCCTGGGATGGCCACATGCAGCCTCCCTGAGCTCCGTTTTTGCTGGCAGAGGGCTGCAGGAGACCGTCGCGGCCAAAAACGGAGCCTTGATGAGTGACGTTGAGCTGGCCACACCCCCGGTCACCACCATCCGCCGCCCCCCCCCAAACGTCAAACACAACCCTGATGCGGCCCTCAATGAAATCAAGCTTGACACCCCTGCTCCAGCCTTAATTTGCTCTCTCAATGATAGGGGTAAGATGCCAAAACAAAGCTCCAAAATGGAAGAAGGAAAACTATATTAAAGTAACAGGTTTGGATTTGCAGATCTGAGAATGTTCCTGATTGTGAGCGCATGACACATGGCATTCAAGTCCAGCAGGAAGCATCAAAACAGACTGTCCTTGAGAGGATACCCCAGGATACATGGCTGGATTTCCTTTCTGTAAACAAGGGCTGTTGTTGAGAGTCACTACTTCGCATGTGGGCCTTTTCAAACCTGGTCAACAAATCTGCAAGGTGGAAAATTGATATTTTAGTTAACACAGAAAGCCTTTGAAAATATATTACTCTAGGGTTTTGTTGTGTTTTTAATTCTTCTTTTCAGTCACTGTCCAATTGTTGGAGGCTTCCTTGGCAAGGCTTTTCAGAAGTGGTTTGCTCCTTCCTAGGGGTTGAAAGAGAGAAAGTCACCCAAGATCATCCAGCTGTTGGCTTTGTGTCTAAGGCAAGACTAGAATTCATGGTATCTTGGTTTCTAGCATGATGTCTTCATACCACTAGACCAAACTGGCTTTCCAAGTTTACTTAGCTGTCAACGGAACTCGAGAATCCCTGCCAACAATTCAAAAAATACTTCTTCAATATGGAGTTTGTTTTTTTTAATTCTAGCTGATTCAATCAGCTTTCAGAAGTCTATTTTCAGACAAGGTGGGTTGGTTGGTTTTTAATTTTTGTTCAGTCCATTTGCATATTTTGGGAACGGCAAAATGCTTGTGGACTTCATTTTGATACTTGCCTTCAAGCTGCCACAGAGTCTGCAAGGAGAGGAAATGTCTACATCCCCTCCCGACAGAATCAGAGGCTAAATCCTTTCAGATCCTCACTTTGGCTTTGAAGCCAAACTCATTCCATAAGAGTCTTATCAGCTTGGGACTATCTCGGTTCATCTTTCCTGGAACATCTTGCAAGCTTCTTCCAGTGGGTTCTCCGAAGTGGGGTTAAAGACTAGATAGGCGAAGGCTTCCTTTTTCATAGATAGATCTAAATATGGAAAACAAAGTAGAAGTGAAATATGAGACGTTATGAAAGAGCAAAGGATGATGAGTTGATTCAAGGCTGCTTCCTCCTGAGCTTGCGTGAGGGCAGGTTGCCCCCATGCTGCTCTCCCTTCTCCTTGCGGACGCAGTGATACTTGGTGACACGTTTGCGACACTGCTCACAACGAACTGCGCAACACCAGTGGAATTTGCAGTTGCAGCTCGACACCATCTCTGCTCGCTGTTCCTCCACAGCCAACCCACAGTCTCCACACAGGCGCTGGCAGCTCCGTTTCTCCCACTTACTCAGGGCCTTGCCTCTCTTCAGACACTCCCGGCCTTCCGTACCCAAGAGACCCAAAGTCTTGTTCTCCAAGCAGTAGTCAGGAGAGTCTTCCAAGTGGACAAGCTCCTTTTTGGAGATTGAGCTGAAGGTTTCCACGATGGCGCCTCGGCTTGCAGCGCTATTGGCAACCCCTTTCAGTATGTCTACTTTCAGTCCTTTGTGGTATTTCTCCTTCAGGTATGTCCCCACTTCTCGAAATTCAGGGAGTTGCAGCCAGCAGGTCTGGGTGGTGCAGCTGCCTGAAACCCCATGACACTTGCAGGTTCTCTTCATAGTTCCTTTCACTGCCTAGAGAGTAAGGCAACAACAGAGTAGAGGTCACGCAACAAAACTAAGGAACAAGAATGTACCTACTGTATTTTTCGGAGTATAAGACGCTCCGGACTATAAGATGCACCTAGCTTTTTTGGCGAGGAAAACAAGAAAAAGAAATCTGCCAGCAATTTTGCCTCATTGCAGCAAACAGCAAACAGCCTGCTTTACTTTCATTTTTGTTTTCAGCATAGCTTGATTAGCACAAGAAAAAAAAAAATCTGCTTCCAGCAATTTACCTCCTTGCAGCAAGCAGCTGAGGCCCGCGCAGCAATAGGCAATGGCAATCCCTGCAGCCTGAAACAGCTGAGAGTTGGGAGGCTGATCCAATGGACAATCAACTTGTGCTAATTAGGATGTGCTGAAGCTAAAATGGGCTGTTCCTTTTTGCTGCTCGCTGCAAGGAGGTAAATTGCTGGGAGGCAGAAGCCAAAGGGTGAGGGCCAGTGGATGGGCGGGGCTACATTTGGTGTATAAAATGCACCCAAATTTTCACCCCCTTTTAGGGGGGGAAAAGATGCATCTTATATTCCAAAAAATACGGTATTTTGATTCAATGTGGAGAATTAATTGAGATTTTGCCTAAAATCCATCTTAACATCTGGCTACAAAAATGCTTTGCAATTCCTATACAATGCTACGAATAACTTGCTTGCTTTCTCCAGATTAAAATCACGAAAGGCTAAATGCAGTGATTAGTTTTCAAAGCTATTATTTGGATTAACCAAGTATTTATTTATTCCTTCCTATCACATTAACTCTAGAAAAAAAATCAGTTTGATGGTAGGAAGTGGTAGTCATGCTAGTTATTACAAATGGTATTTTACTACCCTGTTTCCCCGAAAATAAGACATCCCCTGATAATAAGCCCAATTGGGCTTTTGAGCACTAAAATAAGCACCTTCCCCCAAAAAAGCCCTCCCCAAAAATAAGCCCTCCCCAAAAATATTTAACCACATGTGCAGCTGGTCCCCCACCATTTCTTCTAATTAAGGTTAGGGAGACAGACTGACTGGTGGTATACAGTTTGAAAACTGCATGACGAATGGAGCATAAATCATGGCCATGGAAAAATGGAACCAGCAAAACGGGGACCAGGCTCATACTGGAATTGCCTGGCCCTACTGTATATAACAAATAAAGGCTTGAGCTGTAGAAGTGGTCCATTAGCCATATCAAATAGTTTGTTTCTCAAGTCTTCTTCCCTTCTGAGTGAGCTTCAGCCCTTCCACACTACCCAGTTCATCTGTAAGCTATGTTACTAGGAAGTAGATTTTGTTGGATAATTCTGTTTCATTTTACTTCTTTAAAAAAGTCATTTTCTGAACGTCTATTTTATATTCCCTATATTGGAGCCCATTTCTTGCACATTGGAAGATATTTCAATCGTTGATAAATTAGTTGAGCAAGAAGCAGCACCTGCACATACCAGTGAGGGTGGTGGTGGTGGGTGGAGGATGGAGGATGGAGAAACAAGAGGTCAAAGGAGACCTGGGCACGGTTTCAGGTGGAAAGAGTACCTGCCACTCCTTTCTCCAGCATGCTTCCCAAAGCAGCAGGGCAACTGCTATAACTCTGGTTAGCCAGGCAACAGCCCATCCCAGGGCTCCATCCTGCTCTGGGTTCCCCAGGCCCACTGGCAGAACCAGGTCTTCAGCGCCTTTTGGAAGAGAATTAGGGTGGGGGCCATTCTAATCTCTGGAGTTCTAGTCCTGCCTTAGGCATGAGAGCTGGCTGGGTGATTTGAGTTAGTCATTCAGTCTCAGGTGAATCCAGCTCAAAAGGTTGTTGTTGTGGAGAAAGGAGGAGCAGTAAGGACATCGGGCTTGGGTGACAAGCTGGTTAGTCAATTCCTGTCATAACCAAAAGATCCGTGGTGGTATTCAGCCGGTTCTATCCAGTTCGGGAGAACCGGTAGCGGTGGCTGCGGGAGGCTCCACCCACGTCCTGTTTTTGATGCTCTGTGCATGCGTGGAAGGCCCTACGCGTGCGCTCACATCTGCGAACCAGTAGCGAAGGTAAGTGAATACCATCCCTACAAAGGATCCACACTCAGGAGACACTTGTAGGAAAATGCTAGAAAGAAAAAAGATGCACTTTTTGCCCTAGTTCCACCTGTTATTTGGGTCAAAGTGTCTACCGTATTTCTCAAATTCATAGTATTTTTGTTTTTCCACACTATGAAAAGCAGAATGTGCTAATAAAACAATTCGTATAGCTGAATTATATCATTTTATAAAACATTCTATTATTCTTATAAAAAAGAAAAGGTAAGAAGATGAAAAAGCATAAATATATAACTTATGCCACAAAAAAAGATACACCACTTGTAAGATACCTATTGTAGATAAGATATGCAATTCGTGTTCTAGGGCTGACCCAACCAAAACTGAACTGTTTTTATCTATTGTTGCTTCTAAGTACTAGTACGCAATTTTAAAAAATATCCATGAATCTTCATGTGTAAATATGATTTTTGAACATTTGTTCTCCAAAACGCTAAATATATTTCTGTTCAGGAAATATGAAACATATTACTTCACTCCTGGACTAATATGATACATAGTCTTACAAGCAACTGGCCCTTTCAGGGCAACCGTAATCAAAAGTGGGATTCAGCCAGTTCTGTCCGGTTCGGGCAACTGCGGGAGGCTCCACCCAACCACCCAGACGTATTGTGCGAGCACTGCACATGCACGCGTTCACATTTGCGAACTAGTAGGGAAGGTAAGTGGTTCCCTCTGACCATAATGCTGATGCAACCCTCAATGAAATTGAGTTTGACACTCCTGACTTATAGGAGATCAATGCATGCAAGGAGGCAAACTGCTCTGAAGAATTGTGCATTGCAAGCAAAATAACGTAAGAGCATTAAGTTGCAAGTTGGAAGGAAGAACCATTTCATGCAGTGATGGGTTTCAAATTTTTTTACTACCGGTTCTGTGGGTGTGGCTTGGTGGGCGTGACATGGCTTGGTGGGCGTGGCTTGGTGGGCACGGCAGGTGAAGGATACTGTAAAATCTCCATTCCCACCCCACTCCAGGGGAAGGGTACTGCAAAATCCCCATTTCCTCCTGATCAGCTGGGACTTGGGAGGCAGAGAATAAATGGGGGCGGGACCAGTCACAATTTTTACTACTGGTTCTCCGAACTACTCAAAATTTCCACTACCTGTTCTCCAGAACTGGCCAGAACCTGCTACAACCCACCTCTGATTTCATGATAATTAATGACAGGATCAGCCCCGTGGCAAAGAAAGAGAGGAAAGCAGAAAGTTGTCAGGAAGAGAAAAAAGAAAGGACTCCTCCTGTACAAGGTATTTGGGAAATCTGGTTCCAGCTCCAAGCATTGCAAAAATTCAGATACTGATTGACTTTCCCAGTATGTGACCCAGAACTTCCTAAGAAAAAAGATTTCTCACACCACTCCTGCTGTTGTGGCTCCGTTACCTGAGCCTGTGTCATCGGCAGGAGAGGACTCCGAGAGTGAAGGAGAGGAGTTGGCAAGGCCTCCCACTCCAGGACCCTCCTCTCTGGCAATGCCTTGGGTGTCCGCCGAAGGGCAAGAGATAGGGCCGGGGCCAAGCACGTCCACGCAGCCATAGGTGGACAGTGATGAGGGTAATGAGTCTTGGCTGGATCCTCGGCAGCGTCGCAGAGATAAGCGCGCACAACAGAAGAAAAGGCATGCCAGAGATTAGGCTGAATCACTGGACCACACCCCACAGGGTATAAAAGGGGGTGAGGTGGCCATTCAGACTCTGTGACAGACAAAACTAACTACTACCGAGTCACATTGCATCTTTGGAAATAACATTATCGGCCTTGGATTTATTTTACGAACTGGACAATTCTTGACTGTGGGTATTTTGTTTATTGAGTAAAAGTTCTTGGCAAGCAGCTACTGGGTTGCTGCCAAGCGTCTTATCAGAAGAATTGGTTGTCTGCCAGTTTATTTAACCCCCGGCTGTCTGTTTGTGTGCGTGTGTGGGACGGGGACAGAACACCTGCATTAGAATGAGTAATGCCCCCTTCATGATTGGCAGAGCTGGAAATCATACCACAATCAGCATAGCCAAAGAATTTCCAAAGCCAAGAATCAGTCAACTTGCCCAACTCTACACTGTAGCATTACAAGTATGTTGGTTTTCTGCCCAAATGGACATTCAGAATAAACATTGGAGCTGTCAGCTTTACAAAGTACACCAGACAGGAAGAGTGAAACAGATAAGTTAAAACTATTTTATTGTAAAACCATGTTAGCAGAACATTGCAAGTTTGAAAGTACAATTCTGCGGTTGTCATCTTTATAGACTGATAATTTAGGGAGGGTCTGTTCTGTTCTGAGCCTCTTTGCTCCAACCACTCTACAGCTGGGGGCTCTGCTGTCTCTTATCTGACTGTTCCCTAGACCAGGGGTCTCCAACGTTTCGCACCTCAGGGATCACTAAATTCATAATTTTAAATCCCATGGACCACTAATATGATCTGCCTAATAACCGGCTGGGTGGGCATGGCTAGTTGGTCATGTGACTGAGTGGGCGTGGCCAGGGCCGGATTTAGATGCAAAGAGGCCCTAGGCTATTCCACTTATGAGGCCCTTTCACCTATAGTGAAAGTGTAATTTTAATTTTGCTAACAATTTGAATGTAGGGAATGTAGGCCCCTCTTGATCTTGAGGCCCTAGGCTGAAGCCTAGTTAGCCTATAGGAAAATCCGGCCCTGGGCGTGGCCAACTCAATGTCACTCACATCGAGGGGCACCTCGCCAGCCTCTATTCACCCCTCCCCTCCCAGTCACTCCTCGCCTCCCCGCCCGGGCTCCTTAGGGCCCCAACAGAAAGCAGTTGTTGGAGCTAAGCAGCCACCATGAGAAAGAGTTGGCAAAACAGCTCAGTTCAAATTGGATCTGACCGAGAAGGAGGCTCAGCAGAAGCACCTCACTGAGGACTAGGAGCATAGGCTTTCCAAGCAGAGGGAAGACCTGCGGGAGTGCAAGGCCAGGTACAGGCGCCTGGAGGCTCAGTGGGCTGAGATGGTCAGCCAGTTTCAGGCCATGATGTAGTCCCATTGGAACAAGGTCCTCCAGCTCTTCACCACCAGCGGCGCTTCCCTCCAGCCTTCGCCCAAAGCCCTGCACCAGGAGGCCGAAGCAGACCCCAAGTTGGAATTTCTGTCCCCGTCCGACCCACACAAAAAGACCCTAAAGGGGGAGAGACTCTCTGCAGCAACACAAACGTTCATTGCATGTATCTGGCCCAGGGGCCATAATTCGAAGACCCCTGATTTAGTGCAATATAAAAAATGCAAATAATTTTTCTGCGGACCACCAAAACGTTCTTGTGGACCACCAGTGGTACACAGACCACCAGTTGGTGACCTCTGCCCTAGGCAGCATCTCTTCTCTCTGTCTCCCAAGGACGTTCCCACATACAGGAGCACCCCACTTTTTTTTTTTTAGCTTTTTCTTCATCCTTAGTAACTGAAATCCCCCCAATAACACAGAATCGATTGTTTCAGCTGCCAAATGCTTCATTAAAAATTGACACATAGCAAACATCTGAAGACTCTGACCCCCCACCCCCTTTCTATTCCTGACATTTGTCTCCTTGCAGTATATGGAAATGAGATTACCTTTCGGCCAGCTTCATTGTTGTGCAGATTCATTGCTGCTCTGGCATCTTGCCCTGTTTCAAGGGCATCCACAAACTGCTTGGAAATGGCTTCCCCAAAACCCACATTGTCACTGCAGCCTCCCCATAGCCATCCTTGGCCTCCTGCAGAGACAAAACGGGTCACCAGGCTGTTAGATGGTGTAAGTAGGAAGTTAGCACCCACCCCTCTCCTAGGAAAATGAGATATTTTAGGAAATATTAAAAGGGCAGAATATTTTCCCTAAAAGGGAGGCAGAAACTCTCTCTCTCACACACACACATGCTCCACCTTTGTCAATGGGCCATTAAGGCCTGGCCCAGTCTATTCTACGTAAGAAAGATCTACCTCCTTCAGGCAGAGCCATAGTAGGAATTGCCCAAAGCCCTTTCATTACATCATCACCCAGCAAGAATCAACCAAGCCTGGGACTCAAAACACAACCTACAAAGTTACCCCTGCATGGCCCCATGGGAGTCTGACAACCAATCAGAACACAAGCTCAAATTCAAAGCCCATCACAAGGGATAAAACCCAGGCACTCTCAGCATCTCTGCCCATTTTTCTGCCCAGGATTTCAAGCCACGTGATCCTGTTCATCAATAAACCATCTTTCCAATCAGCCTCCATGTTTCCAGCGTCTTCCTCCCCACTTGGAACTGAACCCAGATGGACATTTCTTCCAACAATGGGATCCATCAGTGGGCGGTGCTAAGAACAGCATCAGATCTGGCTGAAGCCCAGAGTTCAAGGCAGGGGATTCAGAATACATGTTCATCCTTCTGGACCCAAATCCCATCCGTTCCAAGTTTTGGCTTATCCTGAATTACTGTCCTGCTAAAAGTACCAAGTCACATGTAAGAAAAATAGGCAATGACTTCATTTACACAAAATGTCACCGTAGGGTGGGGAATCATTGTGGCAAAGAGGCCTCCCCTTTCCCACTCCCCCAAAGTGTGGGATATTATTTTAAGTTTTAGTTATTTAGTTAGTGCAGCAATAAATTGGCAGCCTTTCACAGCATTCAAACTGGGGCATGGCAGCTCTATATCAGTTCATTTCCTTTTTCTTCTTACGCAGGTCTCTGATCTTTTTCCATGTTTTAAGAACATCTCCTGATCTGAGCAACCATCTGATAACTTTATTGCCCTACATTGTGGAAATACCTTGACTAATCAAGCCAATAAATAGGAGAAAAAAGGTGCGGCTTTAGTGCATAAAAAAAGAATTATCATTACTGGGTTTTAGCCCAGAATGGAGGGGGGGTATGACTTGGATAAGATACCTGCATCCAGTAGTGGGATTCAGCCGGTTCAGGCCGAGTGAACCAGTTGTTAAATTGATGGCTGGCCCCAGCCCTCCCCTCCCCTTCCAGGAGTTCCCACACACCCCATTTTGGCTCCCAGGTAAGTGCAGGGAAGCCTAGTAGGCCCAAAATGGGGCGTCAGGGGGGTGCAGCACAGGCCCCGCCCTCCGCACAACCTGTCTTTGCTCCCAGGAGGCTGTAGGGAGGCCTAATAGGCCAAAAACGGGGTGCAGTGGGAGGCATCCCCCTGCGGCCCATTTTTGCTCCCAGGGGGATGCAGAAGGCCGAGTGCTGCCTGTCATACACCCCTGGCTACGCCCACCATGGCCACGCCCACCCAGCCAGTCATTAGGGCAGAAAACCGGTTGTTTAATTATTTGAACTCCACCACAGTGCATAGCTATATAAATATCACCTGTTTTCAGGTTCCTCCTCACGGAAAAGTTCTAAAAAAGAACCATGAAAATAGGAGACATTTTGTCTGCACCTGTTCTTTTAAAGGCTTTTGAGTGTGTCATCCATGTTTAAAATACATCAGCTGTTCTCTACCCTCTATTTTTTTAGAAAGAAGTTTAGTATGGCAAGAGGTGAGTGGAGAAAGGCCCTATATGGAGAGGAAAATTTGCTGCTGAGGTTACTTCTTACCAAACTGTCCGTTGCGAGAATCATCACATCCACAGTTGTCAAAGTCCCCAAGGCTGCAGTTGCGTGTCAATGTGTACATGACCCCAGCTGAACTGATTGCATGAACAAAAGCGGTTTCTCGGTTAGCTGTGAAATAATGACACAACAGCTTTTTAGCCAAAGAAACTGCAGCTTAGGAGAAAACAGCAGAATCTATGATTTTTTTTTAGCTTTGTAAATCTATCAGATGCTTTCATTTTCAATTGAAAGTCCAGTCCAGGATTCATCTGAGAGGAAAATAATTTTCCTGAAATAGATTGTTAAATGAACGCTCCAACACTGGAAGTTTTTAAGAAGATGTTGGATAACCATTTGTCTGAAGTGGTGTAGGGTTTCCTGCCTAAGCAGGGGGTTGGACTAGAAGACCTCCAAGGTCCCTTCCAACTCTGTTATTCTATTCTATTCTAGTCTATTCTAGTCTATTCTAGTCTATTCTAGTCTAGTCTAGTCTAGTCTATATAAAACTGTGGGGAAAGCAGCATCTTAATAGTGGTTTACAGTATTTTTTTTTTAAAAAAAGAATTAGCTCCCATTAATGGACACAGGCTGCTTTAATGCAGCTCAAATAAAAAGCTACTGAAGAAAATATTTTAAGGGTATTTTTAACATTTTGTCTTATCCTGCACAATTTTACCTAAAATAAGAAATAGGAGTTTGCCATTCCTAAATTATCAGTGGCCTCATTAAGTGCCTGCTCATATGTAATTGGTTTTCCCAGTTTGTTTTAAAAAAGAGAGAGAGAGATCAGTGGCTTTAGGTCAGAAGAAAATAGTTGAAAAATCTGCTGGTCGGCTCCTTCCCTGACAATTTGTTTATTTATTTATTTATTAGTTTTATTTATATACCGCCCTTCTCCGGAGACTCAGGGCAGCTTAAAATGCTTTTAAGCAATAGCCTTCATACTTTTGTATATACCTGCTTAGTAGGGCTTTTTGGCCCCCCCTAAGCGGTGTTCTATTTTATACAAAGTCAGCTTATTGCCCCCACAAACCAGGTCCTCATTTTACCTACCTCAGAAGGATGGAAGGCTGAGTCAACCTTGAGCCTGGTGAGAATTGAACTCGCAGTAATTGCAGGCAGCTGGCAGCTAAATACTACTTTAACAGTAGTTTAGTCCACTGCACCACCAGGCTCTTTTCAGTTGGCAGTAGTTTATAGAAACATGGTAGCAGGGGGCAAGGAAATTCTCAACAGGCCTTACTCTCAAGCCCTCTAGAGCGGCAGAACTATGCGGAATGTAACAAATGCTTATTAGGTTCTGTAATTCTGTAATTGCTTCCTTCAATTAAGTGCTTGTTCAGTCCAATATTTATTTTTAATGGAATTACTCAGTGGTGGGATTCAGCCGGTTCGGGCTGTTTCAGGCAAACTGGAAGTTAAATTGTTGGCTGGCCCCTCCCAACCCCTTCCAGGAGTCCCCACGCGCCCCAATTTGGCTCCCAGGTAAGTGCAGGGAGGCCTCCTAGGCCCAAAGCAGGGGTAGGGGGGCAGTGCCTAGGGAGGTGCAGGAGGCCGAGTGCTGTCTGTCATACCCCCTGGCCATGCCCACCATGGCCACACCCACCCAGCCGGTCATTAGGGCAGAGAACTGGTTGTTCAATTATTTGAATCCCACCACTGGAATTACTTAATGTTACAGAACAACAAAGTTGGAACGGACCTTGGAAGTCTTCTGGTCTAACTCCCTGCTCAAGCAGGAGAACTTATATCATTTCAGAAATATGGCTCTCCAGTCTCTTATTCAAAAAATCCTCCATTATTTACCCATGTAATATGGTTGTAGTATTATTTACCCTATTATCTTCTTTACTCCCCCTCTTATTTGCATTATTATGATTATCATTGTTCTGTTGCTTTGCATATACATTGAAAGCTTCTGCACCAGAGACAAATTCCTTGTGTATCTAATCACACTTGACCAAATAAAGTGTTCAATTCAGTTCAGTTGAAGTGATGGAGCACCCACAACTTCTGAAGGCAAATCCGTTCCACTTCATATGTTTTAGCCTCCAGCCCTTTAATCATCCTTGTTGCTCTTCTCTGCACTCTTTTTAGAATCTCAACATCTTTTTTATGTCACGGCGACCAAAACGGGATGCAGTATTCTAAGTAAGTAGAATCTTCTTAAAAACTTCTAGTGTTGGAGCATTCACTGGAACACTTCTGGAGGCAAGTTGTTCCACTGATTAATTGTTCTAACTGTCAGGAAATTTCTCCTTAGTGCTAGGTTGCTTCTCTCCTTGATTATTTATTTATTTATTTATTTTATTTAAATTTGTATACCGCCCTTCTCCTGGTGGACTCAGGGCGGTGCACAGCCAAGTAAAAACATCCAATACAAAAGTTAAAAATTTAAAAGTTTCTACCCATTGCTTCTTGTCCTGCCCTCAGGTGCTTTGGAGAATAGTTTGACTCCCTCTTCTTTGTGGCAGCCTCTGAGATATTGGAAGACTGTTATCATGTCTCCCCTCGTCCTTCTTTTCATTAAACTAGACATACCCAGTTCCTGCAACCTTTCTTTATGTTTTAGCCTCCAGTCCCCTAATCATCATTGTTGCTCTTTTCTGCACTCTTTCTAGAGTCTCCACATCTTTTTTACATCATGGTGACCAAAACTAAAAATAAAATAATATGTTAATTATGAGCCACGCATCTTCCCTACACACCTGTAGGACATAACAATACCCGAGAAGTAGCAAGCAACTTCTTATTCCATAAGGAACTCTTATTTATCAGGCTCCAGCAGTGAAATATCATACCATACATCATAGAAATGCAATATAATTGGTTCATGGCTGTCACTGCGTTAAGTGTTTGCCAGCTGAGCTTCCATTCTAAGACCTACGGTAGCTTGTCAGGGAACTTATCTGTAGCTGAGATAAGACTGGTCTTGTGAGACATTGGACTACTGCGCATGTCTACATTTTTTCTTTTCTAACTTTCCTTTCTTCCTTTGCCCGTCTCTGAGATAACTGCCGGTAAGATGTAGTTAGCTAGTTTTGTACTTTTATAATAAAATGTTTCTTAGAATATATACTTCAGGTTTTCTTTCTTTGAGAGTATACACCATGGAAAACAAGATCCATTCACCTCTAATTAATTACAGTTTCCCCAGGGGGGGAACGAGGCTGATTCATGCTTCGACAATGGCTAATGGAAGTAGTCCCCCCTAACATTTTTCTTACCACTGCGAAGGCCTCCATGGCTGGAGAGTTGCAAAGCTCTCTCGGGGCAGTTCCAACGATCCCAAGCAAACTGGAACTTGCATTCCTCAATGCCACTCTGTGCACCAGCTGCAACACTGCTGGAGTAGATGAGGTATGCCTGGAAGGGGAGGATAGTCAAAACAAGGAGCTTCTGGGAAAATGGCTACAATCATCAACATTCCCGTTTTTCCAAAACAATTTTTAGGCAAAACACTGGTATGAGGTACATTTGCAATGGGAAGGAGTGGGAGGTGGATGAGCACTCCCTACACTCAGAAAGCAGGGAGTAGCTCATGATGGGCCAAGCATCTCCTCTAAGAAGATTTTTTTAAAAAATCACTAATAGCTAAGCAAAATATATTCAGAAGATGTCAATTTTTAACCAAATATCTCATTGAAGAATTTTACAATCTCCTTAACAGTACAGTATTGGCTTTGAAGGATCTCCTGTCAAAACATGCTGCTACTATTATTAATTATCTGCACTACTACACATCCTCTCATCGTTCCCACCACCCATCTTCTTCCAGTTATGACTGTATGACTGTAACTTTGTTGCTTGGATCCTTACAATTTATATCGATATTGTTTCCTGCTTGCTTATTTGTACCCTATGACTATCATTAAGTGTTGTACCTTATGATTCTTGATGAACGTATCTTTTATGTACACTGAGAGCATATGCACCAAAGACAAATTCCTTGTGTGTCCAATCACACCTGGCCAATAACAAAATTCTATTTCCTATTTCTATTCTAGGAAGATGCAATGAAGGAAAAAGCAGGAACCTAAGGCTTTATGAAGCTAGAGAACTAAAATGGGGTACAGATACTAACCAAAGCATATTAGAACTGATATGAAAGTACTAGGCTGCCAAATAAAAACCATCTGATAGCCCAGTGTAATTCAGCCAACAACACATAGTGTAAACACCAAGCTCCCATGAGCAACCTATAGTAGCTAGGGTTGAACAAACCCATATACATGAATCACAGTAATTTACACTGAATTATCCGGAGCATTAATTATTGGGGCAAGCCATATATTTTGTAAGGACAGTTTTTACTATAAAGAAGTTGAGGTCTCCTGCTTGAGCAGAGAGTTGGAGATCCCTTCCAACTCTGTAATTCTGTTCATATTCTGTTAAATTAACACCATTTAGCAACCAGATTCTGGGTTGTGCATAACATGTGTCCGTTGAGAGCCAATCTCACTATTACCGCTTACAAGCCAATTTTCCTGCTGCCGCTAAAGGATTAATGGCACAGACCTGTCCACAATTTAATCTAATTAAATAATTACACAGGGTTCTCTTCTTTAGGGCAGGAATTTTTTTAAAAAAAAGTAGAAACCGTTTTCTTGCTTTCTGCAAGTCAAGTTTAGCTTGCAAATATCCAGCCACATAGTTATCAAAATCTCGGAAGGAGGAAAGGAACAAGGTCCAGATGCTTCTCGGAATTAGGAATGGAGATCAAAGGGAATGCACTTACCTTGGGACCAGTCATCAGGAAATTATTCACTGACCTGGAAGGGAGAAAAGTCTTCATCAATGGAGAGCAGCAAAGGGAATGTCTGGAATTCCACTGCACTGTCCCAGTTCATCCCCCTCCTTCACCCCTCCTGGCCAACCTGCCGAGATCTCCCTCCTGCACCTCATCACACATGACAATTGCCCCCCATTAGCTAAAGCTTGTAGGGACTAATCTCTATCCTGGTCTAGAGTCTCATCAAATTTTGAGAAATGAATGCCTGAGGTTTTTAAAAAATTATTTTATTTTTGAAAGCAGGCCTGGATTTACAAAAAAAAAAAAATTGAATTACTCTTTCTCTCTCTCGCAGCCAAATCCACCTCACAGGGTTGTTATGAGGAAAAATTGGAGGAGTACTAGGTATGGTAATGCACAAGACAGAAAAATCACAGCTATTTAACTATTTGGTTCAGTCTCTTAACAACAACAACAAAAAGCACTGCACACCAGAATAACTAGACACTAGAACAGTTTCTTCCCGAACGCCATCGGGAATTAAACAAATAATTCCCTCAACGCTGTCAAACTATTCACTAAATCTGCACTACTATTAATCTTCTCATCGTTCCCATCACCCATCTCCTCCCACTTATGACTGTATGACTGTAGCCTTGTTGCTGGTATCCTTACGATTTATATTGACTGTTTCCAGTAGTGGGTTTCAAAAAAATTTACTACTGGTTCTGTGGGTGTGGCTTGGTGGGCATGGCAGGGGAAGGGTACTGTAAAATCTCCATTCCCTCCCCACTCCAGGGGAAGGTTACTGCAAAATCCCCATTTCTTCCCAATCACCTGGGACTTAGGAGGCAGAGAATAGATGGGGACGGGGGCAGTCAGAATTTTTACTACCAGTTCTCCGAACTACTAAAACTTTCTGCTACTGGTTCTCCAGAATTGGTCAGAACTGCTGAAACCCACCTCTGACTGTTTCCTAATATGATTTGATTGCTTATTTATATCCCATGACTATCATTAAGTGTTGTACCTTATAATTCTTGACAAATATATCTTTTATGTACACTGAGAGCATATGCACCAAGACAAATTCCTTGTGTGTCCAATCACACATGGCTAATAAAGAATTCAATTCTATTCTATTCTATTCTGTTCTATTCTATTCTATTCTAAAAAGTGACCAGAAAATTAAGAAAAACAGGATGAAAGGACAGATATGCAGGTAGTAATTCATAGCTACATATAACCAAGGAACAGTTCTTTACTTCAAATGTTTAAATCTCTGGGACCAAATAAATCACATTCATACAGGAAGAACAAGACTGTACAATTGCATGAAGAATTTTTGCCCCCTCTAATTATGTAATTCATTGAGTTCCTTAGTGAACAGAGCCCTTCCTGCAAAATTTACAACCAGTCCTTTCTCATTCTATAAAATCTACTGTAACAAAATGACTAAAGCAACATTACCTGCACAAACGCCTGTTATTATTAAATACTGGGACTATGTAGAAGAAATAAGATGCAACATAAAATATAGTCTGTTGTAAATATTAATAAACATCTGGAAAAGAAATCCACTCCATTGGATCTCTGTAACAGAAAATAACAACAACTTAACATTGCTAGCTCAGAAATCCTACAGTAGCTAGTATAGAAAACTTGTGGACCTACTTCAGACTGTCCTTGTAGCAGACTGGCCTGATCCATGCTGTCCTTTGTAGTAGCAAAGAATACTCCATGTGGCATAAGACGACCAGGACTGGTGACTCTTTCCCCTTGAACTCAAAAGTGCTTTCTGAAAGCCTTAATTAACAAAAGCTGGATGGGTAGAGGTCATTAATTACGAGCCCATCTGTTGGCAACCACGGTCCCTAGAATGGTTGTTGTTGTTAGTTGCGAAGTCATGTCCGACCCATCGCGACCCCATGGACAACATTCCTCCAGGCCTTCCTGTCCTCTACCATCCCCCAGAGTCCATTTAAGCCCACACCGACTGCTTCAGTGACTCCATCCAGCCACCTCATTCCCTGCCGTCCCCTTCCTCTTTTGCCCTCAATCTTTCCCAGCATTAGTCTCTTCTCCAGTGAGTGCTTCCTTCTCATTAGGTGGCCAAAGTATTTGAGTTTCATCTTCAGGATCTGGCCTTCTAAAGAGCAGTCAGGGTTGATCTCCTCTAGGACTGACCGCTTGGATCATCTTGCAGTCCAAGGGACTCCCAGGAGTCTTCTCCAGCACCAGAGTTCAAAGGCCTCAATTCTTTGACATTCAGCCTTCCTTATGGTACAACTTTCACAACCATACATTGCAACTGAATGTATGTATAACTAGAATATAGCAACTTTGAGTTTAAGAGAAGTAAATGAATTCTACAGAAAACTTTCTGATAATAAGAGTCATGCAGCAGTGGGACCAGATACTCCTGGGATGGGGGCTTCTTTTCACCAAATGTTTATGTGAAGGGTGGAGATATCAGAGACTCTGCAATTTGGATTCTTGCACTTAGCCTAAATTGGTGTTTCGCAATCTTAACTACTTTAAGATTGGTGGGCTTTAATTCCTAGAATACTTCAGCCAGCTAGCATTGTTTGCCCTGTCAGGCAATTAAAAGGCATAGTTGATCTAAGAATAGCTAGAGTTAAATTATTATATAGTGGTAGGTTGCCCCCGGATCGGACTGGTTTGCAAGAACCGGTAGTAAAACCAGCAGGAGGCTCCACCCATGGACCCAGATGTCATCATCAGTGATCTGCGCATGCGCAGAAGTGCGTGCACGGGCACGATGTGAACCAGTAGTAAAGGTAAGTAGAACCCATCCCTGGCTGAGGTTATATCATGGAGAAACACAAATTGTTATACACTGATAATATGTCATGGTTCATTAGCAATCCTCTATAACAGGGGTGTGAAACTCAAGGCCCACGATGTGGTCAGATCCGGCCCGCAGGGCCGTCCTGATCTACCCGATGTGAAGAGGAAAGATCAGGCCAGCATGGCTTCGGACAGGTCTACCCAATGCAAAGAGAAAACATGCCAGCATCATGCCATGTCCATCCAGTTGGCCACACCCACCCAGTTGGTAATACTCATCCAGTTGGCCATGCCCAGCCGCCCCGCCCCCCAAGGTTAACCACAGCGGCCCTCAATGAAATTGAGTTTAACGCTGCTGCTCTATAACATTGTTTATTGACATAGCCCAATAATTGGATAACTTAATTAATTGCAGTAAGTTCCATATATTTCCTGTATTTTCCAGTGTTTTAATTCTCTATGGAGAATTTTGTATGGAGAATGCCTTGGTGTGTGAAATCTTTTAAAGATCTTGGAATAATTGTTCCAGGAAAACATTCTATGTTTGTAAATGTAAACATTTTAAAACGTTGAACTCAGAGTAATACAGTATGGATATACAAATAAATAGGTGGTTAATGATCCTAAGAGGAAACTTTTAAAATGTTACAAAGAAATGCAGAGAATTATTTTGTAATGGGAAAAATTGAATGTTGGCTGGGGAACTCTGGGAGTTGAAGTCCACACATCTTAAAGTTGCTGGGGTTAAAAAACACCAGGTGGTGTTTAGATGCAAGAGGAGAAATGCTAATATATGGAAGGCTTTGCTTAGGGAGTGACGGTCCAGTGGTGATCATAGGTTGAAAATGCTGAAAGGGGTGGGGGGCAGTGGTGAAATGCTGCCAGTTTAACAACCAGTTCGGTGAGCAAGCGAGTGCGCCGAAGGCGCTTGTGCTCAGCGCTGAAAATGGAGCATTTAGAAGTTCAGCTGCTTACCTTCCAAGTCAGCAACAATAAGTAGAACAGCGAGGGGGGGAATCAGCTGTGCCGCGCAACTGGGATGAGCTACAAAGCAGGAAATAAAAGACAGGATAGAGCAGAGGCGGGTGGACGAGGCCAACTGATCGTCATCGCTACTGGTTCACCCGAACCAGTCCGAACCGGCTGAATACCACCTCTGGTGGGGGGATGCATGTAGGGCTTCCACTATAGCACTGCCTGGGATCTCCCCTTACCTGGTTCTTTTGCAGATCTAGACTTGCTGGCTTAGGAGATAGCATGAAGCGTGTGGAGCTGAGGAGAAGGAGAACTTTCTCTGGTTTACTTGGCGCATGGAGAAGAAGAGGAAGCAGAGTCCTGTTCTTCCATTGTGTTTGAGGAGGATTCGTGTATTTCTCTATTGCAGAGGAAATTGTCAAGAACAGGTGGCAATTACCAAAAATAGGTATGGATTGTAAAAGGCAAGTCTTGCCAACCTAATTTTATCTCATTTGAAAAAAAAAACCTATGGGAATTATATATGTATTATATACCCTAATTTAAATATCCCACTAATGAGGTGGACACAAACTAGGTGTCAACTCACGAAGCTTTCCTGACCTGCTCCCAAGTTACCACAGGCAGGGAGATGGGAAATCACACCTCACAGCTGCACCGAGGAATTCGCACCTCAGTCAAAACAAAACATATCCTAGCCAGCTGCAGTCAAGGCCATTTCCACAGAGACCCTAACATCCCAGGAGACAGGTTTAAAATGAAATACAATCTCCATGGATTGGGAAAAGAGGATGAAAGTAATAGAATGAAACTTGATAGAAGTGCTTCATTAAGGGAAAAAAAGATAAAGAATGGGATGGGTGAAAACCACACTGGCTATCAATATTTTTAAAAAATAAATTAAATACTTTATTTTGGAATTGTAGTTGATTGAAAACTAAACACGAGCCAAGAAAAATATACGACTACCAAAGAAGAAAATATTAGTTTAGGCTTCATCAACAGAAAAGTAATTCCAAATTCTGAGAAGTAAATCATTCCACTTTCAAGTGGTTTCCCCACTTCTGGGCATCGTACTTTAAGAGGGGTTCAGATAAAATGAAGGAGGCTTTGGGGAAGGATAATAAAGATGTCTTACACATTGGCAAAAAAAAATCAGAACATAAAATACAAGCTGGATGGACACGACCTTGTAGATGACCCACACTCTGTCAAGGACCTTGGAGTACTCATCTCTAATGATCTAAGTGCCAG